ATTCTTTCTACGCTCTTTCTACCCCCATTTCTACAACGTCTCTCCACCATTTCTACACCCTTTTTACACCATTCTACTCCCTTTCTACAACTCCTACACCTTTCTAGATCCTTTTTACCCAATTTTTATATACTTTTACACCCCTTTAACCCCTTCCTACCCTTATCTACACTCTTGCTATAACTTTGTATACCCTTTTCTTCAATCTAATACACTCTGGCTACACTCTTCCTACATATTCTTACAACCTTCCTAGACACTTCTCACATCATTCAAACATTTTTTTACACCCTTTCTATAATCTTTCTAAACCTTTTATACACTCTTTCACACAATTCGTAACACCCTTTTCTACCCAATTCTTACACCTTTTGTACACCATTTCTACACCATTTTTAGAATCACCTCTATTTACATATTTTCGACACCCTTTCTACATCTTTCTACATCATTTCTTTAACATTTATACAACCATTTTACATTCTTTCTAAACCCTAAATCCTAAACCCTTGTATACCCTGTCTACACCCTTTGTTCGAAGGTTGTAAAGATGATTTGGGAATAATGTAGCCAAAGTGTATTGGGTTGTAGAATGGGTGTAGAAAGTGTGTAGAAACAATTGGAAAAGGGCTAAAAAGGTTGTATAAAATGTGTAGGAAAAGTGTAAAAAGAGTGTAAACAATGTGTAGAAAGGGTGTAGGAAGGGTGTAAAAAGGAGTCATAAATGGTGTAATAAGGGTGTAAAAATGTTTGTGGAAAAGGATAGAAAAACTGTAGAAAGGGTGTACAAAAGGTGTACAAAGGGTGAACAAAGGTTGTACTGCCTTTTTACATCTTTCTACAAAACTATATGAAAATGGTGCAGAAAGGGTGTACAAATTTGTGTAAAGAGATGTACAAAGGTTTGTACAAAACAGTACAAACAGTTTAATAAAGTTTGTTCAATTGGGTGTACAAATGGTGTACAACGTGTGTACACCCATTCTACATCTTTCTATAAAATATGTAGAGAGTGTTTGAAAGGGTGTAGAAATGTGTAGAGAAACAACGTAGAAAGATGTAGAAAGGGTATAAAAAGATTGTAGAAAAAGTATACAAAAAGTGTTGAAAAGGTGTACAACTTTCCTAAATCTTTCTACACCTTTTCTATACGCTTTCTACACTATTTCTACATTTTTCGACACAATTTCTACATTCTTTCTACACACTTTCTACCCCTTTCTACACCCTTTCAACACTCTTTCTACACACCCACTACACTTGCTATATAACCCTTTTACCTCTTTCTACAACCTTCCAAAAACCTTCTTATACAATTCTTTACATTCTTTGTAAACCATTTTTACATGTCTTCCTACATTCTTTCTACCCCTTTGCTACACCATTTATCACCACTCACCTATTCCTAGATCATTTAAGATCCTTCTTACAACCTTCTTACACTCTTCTTACACCATTTTGAATCACTTCAAACAACTTTCTACATCATTCTACATCCTTTCAACACACTTTCTACATCTTTTCTACAACCTTTCTACACCCTTTCTAAACCTATTTTCCATCGTTCTCTACACCTTCTCTACGCATTTTCTACACCCCTTTTACACCTTTTTTACAACATTCCTACACGCTTTATACAACCCTTTTACCTTCTTTTTACACTCTTTCTACACCATTTCTACAACCTCATACGGCCTAGCAACACTTTTCCCACATTACTCTTACAACCTTCCTACACACTTATATTTTTTCTAAATTATTTTTACATCATTTCTACACCCGTCCTACACCATTTATACACCCCTTTAACTTCTTCCTGCATAATTTTACATCCTTCTTACAACTTTCTTACACCATTCGTACTCACTTCCTACAACTTTCCCACACCTTTCTAACCCTTCCCTACTCCCTTTCTACACCCTTTTTTACATCATTCGTAGAATCTTTTTACACCCTTCATACACACGTTTACAGTTCTTTCACCCCTTTTTACACTCTTTCTACAACCTTTGCTACAACCTAATACATCCTGGCAATACCCTTTCTTCAACCTTTTATACACCATTTCTACATCTTTCTACACCATTTCTTCAAAGGTACATCCTTTCTACACCATTTCTAAATCTTTTCTACTCTGCTTTTATATTCTTTCTATGCTCTTTCTACCCCCATTCTACGTCTCTACACCATTTCTACACCATTTTTACACTCTTTCTACTCCCTTTCTACACACTTCCTACACTCTTTCTAGATCCTTTTTACACACTTTTTATATACTTTTTTACACCCCCTTTATACAACCTTCCCTACCCTTATCTACACTCTTGCTACAAACTTTGTATCCCTTTCTTCATCTAATACACCCTGGCTACACTCTTCCTACATTATTCTTACAACCTTCCTACACACTTCTCCACATCATTCAAACATTTTTTCTACATTCTTTCTCTATCTTTCTAACCTTTATAAACCCCTTTCTACACAATTCGTACACCCTTTCTACACAATTCTTACACCCTTTTGTACACCATTTCTACACCGTTTTTACACCTTTTTTTACATATTTTCGACACCCTTTCTACATCTTTCTACATCATTTCTTTAACATTTATACAACCATTTTACATTCTTTCTAAACCCTAAATCCTAAACCCTTGTATACCCTGTCTACACCCTTTGTTCGAAGGTTGTAAAGATGATTTGGGAATAATGTAGCCAAAGTGTATTGGGTTGTAGAATGGGTGTAGAAAGTGTGTAGAAACATGTGAAAAGGGCTAAAAGGGTTGTATAACATTGTAGTAAAAGTGTAAAAAGAGTGTAACCAATGTCTAAAAGGGTGTAGGAAGGTGTAAAAAGAGTCATAAATGGTGTAATAAGGGTCTACAAAATGTTTGGAAAAGGGATAGAAAAACTGTAGAAAGGGTGTAACAAAAGGTGTACAAAGGTTGTACTGCCTTTTTACATCTTTCTACAAAATATATGAAAATGGTGCAGAAAGGATGTACAAATTGTGTAGAAGAGGTGTACAAAGGTTGTACAAAACAGTGTACAAAAAGTTTATAAAGGGTGTTCAATGGGGTGTACAAATGGTGTACAACGTGTGTACACCCATTCTACATCTTTCTATAAAATATGTAGAGAGTGTTTGAAAGGGTGTAGAAATGTGCAGAGAAGGTGTAGACAGGTTATAGAAATAGTAGAGAAACAACGTAGAAAGATGTAGAAAGGGTATAGAAAGATTGTAGAAAAGGTATACAAAAAGTGTTGAAAAGGTGTAACCTTTCCTAAATCTTTCTACAGCCTTTCTATACGCTTTCTACACTATTTCTACATTTTTCGACACAATTTCTACATTCTTTCGACACAATTTCTACCCCTTTCTACACCCTTTCAACACTCTTTCTACACCCTTTCTACACACACCCCCCCCCCCCTCCCCCCCCCCCCCCCCCCCCCCCCCCCCCCCCCCCCCCCCTCACTACACTTTCTTATATACCCTTTACCTCTTTCTACACCTTCTAAAAACCCTTTTTTTTTCTTATACATTTCTTACATTCTTTGTAAACCATTTTTACATTCTTCCTACTTCTTCTACCCCTTTGCTACACCATTTATCACCCATCTCACTATTCCTACCTCATTTAAGATCCTTCTTACAACCTTCTTACACTCTTCTTACAACATTTTTGAATCAACTTCAAACAACTTTCTACATCATTCTACATCATAGTGTTTAAGGAAACCCTAACCCCTAAACCTAAAACCCTAACCCAAAACCCTAACCCAAACCCTAACCCTAACCCTAACCATAACCTTAACCCTAACCCTAAACCCCAAACCCTAACCCCTAACCCCTAAACCTTAAACCACCCAAAACGCTAAAAAACCCTAAACCCTTAACCCTAAACCCTTAACCCTTAACCCTTAACCCTTAACCCTTAACCCGAAACCCGAAACCCGAAACCCCGAAACCCCGACTTCGACCCCGACCCCGACCCCCGAACGCCAAACCCCCAAACCCCGGGGTCCGGGGACCCCGAACCCCAAACCCTAACCCCAAACCCTAATCCCGAAACCCCTAGTCCCGAAACCCCTAAACCCGAAACCCTAACCCGAAAACCCTAACCCGAAAACCCTAACCCGAAAAACCTACCCCCAAACCCTAACCCCGAAACCCGAAACCCCGAAACTCGAAACCCCGAAACCCCGAAACCTCGAAACCCCGAAACCCCGAAACCCGAAACCCCGAAACGCGAAACCCGAGACCCGAAACCCGAGACCCGAAACCCTTGACCCGAAATCCTAGTCCCGAAACCCTAGACCCTAGTCCCGAAACCCTAGACCCGAAACCCTACACCCCACACCCCACACCCCACACCCCACACCCTACAGGGTTTGGGGTTTAGGGTTGAGGTAGGTATTCCCAAAGAAGAGTAACATAGTCCCATACAATCAATGCACAAGAACTGAACCTCAACAAACGAAAGATATCCAGATTTACTATACGTAAAACACTAAATGCATCAAAGTAGACTGGATTCCAAATATTGGACATAAAATGCACCTCAATAGCGGTCTCATGGGCCTGACCATACACAAGATGAAGGGGAAGCAAACCAGCAAGATGCTCAGCAGTGGCAACAACTGCAGCTTTTATAGGCTGCCTTTATCGTCCCCATAGAGGATGAAATCATGAAAGAACTAATGAGTAGATTTTTGACCTATACTAATATATAAAAGAGATTCTCCCTTTTGGGGTACACATTTTTTTTTTCAATTTTATCCTTACAGTAAACATCCTTTATATTTAAATAATTATCTTACCAATTTTACCCTCTAAACAACCCTCCTTTTAAATTTAACTATTTTTTCGATTTGAACATTTTTTTAAATTTAACCAGTTTTAAACTAAAATAATTATCTATAATAAAAAAATTACCTATAAAATAAATTAAAAATATTTATAATAAAATTATAAAAATTATTATATTTAGTTTTATAGTTACAATAATAATAATAATAATTTTATTCTTTTTTGTCATCATAAAAAGAAAATGAACACACATGCGTGTAATGGTAATATCACAATTGTTCGATATAACTTTTTATAAAAGTTCACCTCTTCCCCTAACCTTTCCCAATGAAATCAATAAAATACGATTGCAAGAAAGATGAATAAGCAATTTTGGAAAGTTGGAAGATAGGTTTCTCAATCTTATCTCAAGTCCAATAGAAGTGAATGCCCATTACAATGTAGGCTTTCCCACAAGGAGGACCCAGACTGAACAACAATAATCATGTCAGAGAGAGCTTTTGCCTGAAAATATTTGTCTAGTAAAAGTGGTTCACTGTAGATGAACCAAAAGATTGGAACCTCGAGCACAGACCTGGAATGTGTATGCCTATCTGCACCATTCATAAATACTCATATTTGTCAATAACAAGAATATCAAGAATAAAAGAGAACTTTATTTTAAACTTATATTTAGTGAAATGAACAAAATAAATCAAGTCATAAAATTACGTCCAACCAGAACATGCAACCCTAACATGCTAGACATAGAAAGTCCTTGTTAGTCCCTACTATTTTACACTTCTACATATCCTATGATTTTCCATTTGACATCTAAGTTTTGATCATAACAAACAAGACAACTTTGGTATTTCTAATATATTTATCTTGTGTGCAACAAGCTTAGTCATGATCGAGAGCAACTTTGTTTCAAGATACAAGTCATGATTAAAGCGCAAAAGACAAGTGAATGAGGCCATGTTAGATGACCTCACAAAGAAGAAGACGGATGCTACTAGAATAGAAGAAGCTTTCCAAAAGTATTAGACTACACTACAAGTAGCAAGAAGCGCTAGACCGTAATGTCACCTATATATGACCATATTCCTCAGGGCATGTTAGAAAAAACTTCCATCTTGAAGCATCAAAAGCATGCAAGATAGAGAAGAAAGAAGAAGATCAAGAGAGGTTGCCCAAGAGTATTCTTGGATTGATGTAATCTGCAGAGAACCAAGATTAGACATCCTTGATGTAGCACCTATCAAAAGATGTCTCCTATGCCAGCATCAATTGTTTGATGACTCAAGTCAAATGGAATAAATGCAATCTGAAGAGTGCTTTGAACTAGACACATCTGCAGGATTTCATAACGTCTAAATCCCTACAGCTGACTCACAACATCTATCTCAAAGATGAAGACACAGATACTAACTATAAATGAGCAAAAGTCCTTTTTGGTATCGTTAGGGGCACAAAGTCAACTGTAAAGTAAAGGAGTATGTTTCAATCACGTCAAAGTACTACTACCAGTCAAAGTAAGTGAGAAGAGAGTCATCACTCTCCAAGAAAAGATCTAACAAGCAATGACTCCAAAGGTACACATCCTTCAATGGTCATGCAAGAAAGTTGATGAATATAATAAGAAAAGTCTTCAAAGACATCACCAACATTACACACGCAAATGATAAAGTGCTGAAAAAGCCTAAAGTGCAAGATCTAATTGTAATTACCTACCACTTGTTACTATTGTAGGATAGTAGTGAGTTGATTGCCATGTTGTCCCTTAGTATATTTATATTGCATGATGAATGCAATAGGTTTAATTTCTTTATGGTCCTTTTATTTATTTATTTTGCTCAATTGGGTCCCTCTATTAATATAATATTCAATCAAATCCCTCAATTTTAAAAATGTAACAGTGTAACTCTTCCAAGGTTAAATCAAGTCCCTCAATTTTTAAAATAGCAACAGTGTGACCCCTTTGTTCGTTGAAAATGATGTGGTTGGTTTTATAAATTGTCACTATGCATTAGTTATAAATTATATTAAGTATAAACTAAAACAATCAATATTTGTTTGTCAATGATTTTATGACTAATTGTATAGAAAGTGATCACATTGTTGTTACATTTATAAAAGTTGAGGGACTAGATTGGGATTTTTATTAATAGTGAGACCAAATTGAATAAAATAAATAAGGACCTTCAGACCCTCTTATGATGCTTGAGTTTGACAACATTCGTCTTCACAAAGGCTCGTTCCCTAGCAGTTTAGAGTTTATATGAATCAAGCTTTAGAGTGTGTAAACTATCTTCTATTCATAGCTCTCACCCACCATTAGCTTGCGAGGAGTATTAATTTAGAATAAACCTGGGTTTATTGAAACCCAGCATACACTTGACCTCACTATAACTTTTTTCTGTTCAGACATGTAAAGAATTAATCAGTTTGGTACAGCTGGACAGATGTAATATATTCACATCCCTCTACACGCAATTTTTCAGGTTTCAGAATCAATACAAAACTCAGTTTTATTTTCTCTTAAATCCTTAAACTCAACACTACAGTATGTGGAGCATATAATTGTGCCCCAAATACTTCAATGCCCCAGTTTATTCAAAAGTAACTGCACAAACCCAATTCATTATACATAGTCCACGGCAGACTTTTGGCAACTTAGTGAAGCAAACACTATGAGCTTCAAAGTCTGAGCTATAAAAAGTTGAAGATACACTAAAACTAATGTAATATTTAGGATTGATGCTACTATCATCCTAAATCAGGTATGCCACAATTCCTATTCAACAGTTGAGGCATAACATCAAGCATCTTATAGAATGTGTGCAAAGGTTGTCTTAAACTCATTTCTAATTCTGACTTAATTATTTATTTAATTGAATAAAGATTTCAAAATAAAATTCCACCAAATTTGCTTTGAATAAAAATGTGCAATGGATGAAAATAGATTGAGTAAAATATACACTAATCATCAGATGAAATAAATTTTCCTTTCACCCTTTTTTTACACTCAACTTCAAGATGTCTGCAACTTATTCTCATTTTTCAATGTACATACAAATGGCACTCTAAAACAGGACTTAAGGATATAGGAATGACCTTTAAGAGAACCATGTTTATTCAGCCTTTGCAATTGATATTACAGAATAGAAGAATCAAGATATGTTCGAACTGTCTTTCGGTAGGTTCCATTGATAAGCAGTAAAGGTACAGCAGCTGCTCGTCGTGCAACTGCAAAGGCCATTTGCTAAGGCAGGATCCTCCGACAGTGGCAACCTGAAGTGATAGTAATGTAAGTAGAAAATTAGGGACACAATTTATAGGAATGTGATACATCAGACACACAACATTGTCTTAAGAAAACATTTCACCAACCAAATGCCTAATTGAAGGTAGGGTAAAGAAAGGTTAGAATTAAAAATTCATGACATACATGTGCTGACTGAACATTGGTTTCTGAGAAGGAACTGTCAATGAGGAAAGGCTGCCCTTTATAAATGTGCTTAACTTTCTGAAAAAAATAATACAAGGGCAAAGTCAATATTCAGCTGTTGCAAGCCTTTTCAAGTGATCAAACAGACATCTTACCTCCTGTGTCACGAAAAACAACTGAAAGGATATCTTCTCATAATAATGGAAGGCACCATCAGCAACCGAAGGTGACACAATATGTCTCATAGATCCCCACAGCATTGCACCTAGATGTGCAAGAAAAGAATCACGTGCAACTGTGTAATTTTGGAATTCCTGCAAAGGGTAAATCCTTGAATGAAGAGGTCCAACCAGAAATTTAAACTACGAAAAATTTGTGGGCATACATTTTATTATAGTAATTTACTAAATTAACAGAGATCAACTGGCTGACCTAATGCGTGTCACTGAATAGATTCCAGCTCTCCATCCGTTTCAAAGCTTCTAAGGCCTTTTTCTTATGACTTTCATCATATTATTTACCTTCAAATGACTGTAGCTCGTTTCTCAAATCCCGCATCCTTTCATCAAGTTCTGAAATTATCTTATGTTACAAGCTGTACAAAAGAGCCACAATAAAACCGTGTAGCTTCTAAACCTACAGAAACTGAGCAATGAAATCTACAAGGTTTGATACTTAGAATGAAAAATAAAGCAAAATAGAACTACATACAAATAAAAGCTTGATGAGAACATCTCACTACTACCAGAGAAGCACAGATACTTCAAATGATAACCATGCCCAAGAATTGACTAGCACAATATTTGTTATTAATTCGTGATTACAGAATATTTATTATTATTGGAACAGTTTTACTTGTCAACAATTTATGCATGATTGTACAGCTACATTTATGTTATCTTGATAATTAGTTAGCCCATCAGCTGCAAGGTAGCATTTATTGCACAATAGTCACTTTCAAGTCGAATGGAGAATTCTCCAGAGGAGAACACATTATTGATATGCAATTTTTCAAAGTCTAATATGGTATAACACTTGGCTGTACTCCTATTTTAGTTCTGTCCAAAATTCTCAGCCTCTAGGTTCTGCAAGACTATCCTTGTTTTTCTCTATCTAGTACGATTTTTTTCATGTCTTTTATTCGTCAACTTCATATCTAGTGACAAGTATGATATCTTATTTGTTTACCTTAATGGCAAGAGTTATTAAACCTCGGTTTTTCAGTTCCAGATATTGATAGAAGATAAGAACTTTTGAGGTCATGTTGATGGCACCAGTTCTGTTCCTAACAGAAAATCAACAGGAGGAACATGTCCAGCAGGAAGTTAAAGATGCTCAACTAAAGACATGGATCTATCATAGTCTTTGTTGATCCTAATATTGTTCCCAATCCCCGACTATTCAATGTTGCAGCCAAGATGTGGGCCTATCTAACGATATACAGCCACAATAATATTGCTAAAAGGTTCCAATTAGAACATGAAGTCACCATATTACAGCAGGATAGTCTTTCAATTTTTGAATTCCTTTCTCATTTATGGATCTTTGGGCCAAAAACACTGACATTGTATATGAAGATTTCTAAAATGATGGTGAAAGTATAGAGCAACATGTTCATGAAACTACTAAACAGATCAATTTCTTATGAAACTGAGATCCAATTTTGAGGGTGTTTGAATAGAGTTCCTACCCCATCATTGGATGCATGCCTGAATGAGCTTCTAGAAGAATGTTTCCAAACTAAAACATCCATGAAAAGCAGAAATTTGTCTCTCTTCCATCAGCATATGCAACACAAGGAAAGCCTAAACAATGATACTGAAGTGCTGTCCAAAGTTTCTGTTGCGAAGAATTTGGACGTGCTTCACATTGTCTTAAAATGTTCTACAGTTACTGCATAAAAGATGATCAATTCATTAAAGAATGTTCCATAAGACCACCAAGAACTGCAACATGTCCAAATTACAGAATGAGGAACGTGCTCTCTTATACCATGCACCATGCACTTTCAACCGCTGAAAAACCATGTGGGTTGTGTTCCTGCAAGTACATACACTACACATCAGCACACATCAGCACAGATGAAGCAAATGAGCATAGATCAATATGATCTCAAGAACAAAAAACAATAACGCCAGAAAAGGAAACAACAGCTTACCAAATCCAACTATTGAAAATCTCACAATTTCAAACGCCGAACAATACGGCCACACCTACTCTGCATTCTCAGAATCTCCTTGGCAAAATCCTGANGAAGACACAGATACTAACTATAAATGAGCAAAAGTCCTTTTTGGTATCGTTAGGGGCACAAAGTCAACTGTAAAGTAAAGGAGTATGTTTCAATCACGTCAAAGTACTACTACCAGTCAAAGTAAGTGAGAAGAGAGTCATCACTCTCCAAGAAAAGATCTAACAAGCAATGACTCCAAAGGTACACATCCTTCAATGGTCATGCAAGAAAGTTGATGAATATAATAAGAAAAGTCTTCAAAGACATCACCAACATTACACACGCAAATGATAAAGTGCTGAAAAAGCCTAAAGTGCAAGATCTAATTGTAATTACCTACCACTTGTTACTATTGTAGGATAGTAGTGAGTTGATTGCCATGTTGTCCCTTAGTATATTTATATTGCATGATGAATGCAATAGGTTTAATTTCTTTATGGTCCTTTTATTTATTTATTTTGCTCAATTGGGTCCCTCTATTAATATAATATTCAATCAAATCCCTCAATTTTAAAAATGTAACAGTGTAACTCTTCCAAGGTTAAATCAAGTCCCTCAATTTTTAAAATAGCAACAGTGTGACCCCTTTGTTCGTTGAAAATGATGTGGTTGGTTTTATAAATTGTCACTATGCATTAGTTATAAATTATATTAAGTATAAACTAAAACAATCAATATTTGTTTGTCAATGATTTTATGACTAATTGTATAGAAAGTGATCACATTGTTGTTACATTTATAAAAGTTGAGGGACTAGATTGGGATTTTTATTAATAGTGAGACCAAATTGAATAAAATAAATAAGGACCTTCAGACCCTCTTATGATGCTTGAGTTTGACAACATTCGTCTTCACAAAGGCTCGTTCCCTAGCAGTTTAGAGTTTATATGAATCAAGCTTTAGAGTGTGTAAACTATCTTCTATTCATAGCTCTCACCCACCATTAGCTTGCGAGGAGTATTAATTTAGAATAAACCTGGGTTTATTGAAACCCAGCATACACTTGACCTCACTATAACTTTTTTCTGTTCAGACATGTAAAGAATTAATCAGTTTGGTACAGCTGGACAGATGTAATATATTCACATCCCTCTACACGCAATTTTTCAGGTTTCAGAATCAATACAAAACTCAGTTTTATTTTCTCTTAAATCCTTAAACTCAACACTACAGTATGTGGAGCATATAATTGTGCCCCAAATACTTCAATGCCCCAGTTTATTCAAAAGTAACTGCACAAACCCAATTCATTATACATAGTCCACGGCAGACTTTTGGCAACTTAGTGAAGCAAACACTATGAGCTTCAAAGTCTGAGCTATAAAAAGTTGAAGATACACTAAAACTAATGTAATATTTAGGATTGATGCTACTATCATCCTAAATCAGGTATGCCACAATTCCTATTCAACAGTTGAGGCATAACATCAAGCATCTTATAGAATGTGTGCAAAGGTTGTCTTAAACTCATTTCTAATTCTGACTTAATTATTTATTTAATTGAATAAAGATTTCAAAATAAAATTCCACCAAATTTGCTTTGAATAAAAATGTGCAATGGATGAAAATAGATTGAGTAAAATATACACTAATCATCAGATGAAATAAATTTTCCTTTCACCCTTTTTTTACACTCAACTTCAAGATGTCTGCAACTTATTCTCATTTTTCAATGTACATACAAATGGCACTCTAAAACAGGACTTAAGGATATAGGAATGACCTTTAAGAGAACCATGTTTATTCAGCCTTTGCAATTGATATTACAGAATAGAAGAATCAAGATATGTTCGAACTGTCTTTCGGTAGGTTCCATTGATAAGCAGTAAAGGTACAGCAGCTGCTCGTCGTGCAACTGCAAAGGCCATTTGCTAAGGCAGGATCCTCCGACAGTGGCAACCTGAAGTGATAGTAATGTAAGTAGAAAATTAGGGACACAATTTATAGGAATGTGATACATCAGACACACAACATTGTCTTAAGAAAACATTTCACCAACCAAATGCCTAATTGAAGGTAGGGTAAAGAAAGGTTAGAATTAAAAATTCATGACATACATGTGCTGACTGAACATTGGTTTCTGAGAAGGAACTGTCAATGAGGAAAGGCTGCCCTTTATAAATGTGCTTAACTTTCTGAAAAAAATAATACAAGGGCAAAGTCAATATTCAGCTGTTGCAAGCCTTTTCAAGTGATCAAACAGACATCTTACCTCCTGTGTCACGAAAAACAACTGAAAGGATATCTTCTCATAATAATGGAAGGCACCATCAGCAACCGAAGGTGACACAATATGTCTCATAGATCCCCACAGCATTGCACCTAGATGTGCAAGAAAAGAATCACGTGCAACTGTGTAATTTTGGAATTCCTGCAAAGGGTAAATCCTTGAATGAAGAGGTCCAACCAGAAATTTAAACTACGAAAAATTTGTGGGCATACATTTTATTATAGTAATTTACTAAATTAACAGAGATCAACTGGCTGACCTAATGCGTGTCACTGAATAGATTCCAGCTCTCCATCCGTTTCAAAGCTTCTAAGGCCTTTTTCTTATGACTTTCATCATATTATTTACCTTCAAATGACTGTAGCTCGTTTCTCAAATCCCGCATCCTTTCATCAAGTTCTGAAATTATCTTATGTTACAAGCTGTACAAAAGAGCCACAATAAAACCGTGTAGCTTCTAAACCTACAGAAACTGAGCAATGAAATCTACAAGGTTTGATACTTAGAATGAAAAATAAAGCAAAATAGAACTACATACAAATAAAAGCTTGATGAGAACATCTCACTACTACCAGAGAAGCACAGATACTTCAAATGATAACCATGCCCAAGAATTGACTAGCACAATATTTGTTATTAATTCGTGATTACAGAATATTTATTATTATTGGAACAGATTTACTTGTCAACAATTTATGCATGATTGTACAGCTACATTTATGTTATCTTGATAATTAGTTAGCCCATCAGCTGCAAGGTAGCATTTATTGCACAATAGTCACTTTCAAGTCGAATGGAGAATTCTCCAGAGGAGAACACATTATTGATATGCAATTTTTCAAAGTCTAATATGGTATAACACTTGGCTGTACTCCTATTTTAGTTCTGTCCAAAATTCTCAGCCTCTAGGTTCTGCAAGACTATCCTTGTTTTTCTCTATCTAGTACGATTTTTTTCATGTCTTTTATTCGTCAACTTCATATCTAGTGACAAGTATGATATCTTATTTGTTTACCTTAATGGCAAGAGTTATTAAACCTCGGTTTTTCAGTTCCAGATATTGATAGAAGATAAGAACTTTTGAGGTCATGTTGATGGCACCAGTTCTGTTCCTAACAGAAAATCAACAGGAGGAACATGTCCAGCAGGAAGTTAAAGATGCTCAACTAAAGACATGGATCTATCATAGTCTTTGTTGATCCTAATATTGTTCCCAATCCCCGACTATTCAATGTTGCAGCCAAGATGTGGGCCTATCTAACGATATACAGCCACAATAATATTGCTAAAAGGTTCCAATTAGAACATGAAGTCACCATATTACAGCAGGATAGTCTTTCAATTTTTGAATTCCTTTCTCATTTATGGATCTTTGGGCCAAAAACACTGACATTGTATATGAAGATTTCTAAAATGATGGTGAAAGTATAGAGCAACATGTTCATGAAACTACTAAACAGATCAATTTCTTATGAAACTGAGATCCAATTTTGAGGGTGNTATTAAACCTCGGTTTTTCAGTTCCAGATATTGATAGAAGATAAGAACTTTTGAGGTCATGTTGATGGCACCAGTTCTGTTCCTAACAGAAAATCAACAGGAGGAACATGTCCAGCAGGAAGTTAAAGATGCTCAACTAAAGACATGGATCTATCATAGTCTTTGTTGATCCTAATATTGTTCCCAATCCCCGACTATTCAATGTTGCAGCCAAGATGTGGGCCTATCTAACGATATACAGCCACAATAATATTGCTAAAAGGTTCCAATTAGAACATGAAGTCACCATATTACAGCAGGATAGTCTTTCAATTTTTGAATTCCTTTCTCATTTATGGATCTTTGGGCCAAAAACACTGACATTGTATATGAAGATTTCTAAAATGATGGTGAAAGTATAGAGCAACATGTTCATGAAACTACTAAACAGATCAATTTCTTATGAAACTGAGATCCAATTTTGAGGGTGTTTGAATAGAGTTCCTACCCCATCATTGGATGCATGCCTGAATGAGCTTCTAGAAGAATGTTTCCAAACTAAAACATCCATGAAAAGCAGAAATTTGTCTCTCTTCCATCAGCATATGCAACACAAGGAAAGCCTAAACAATGATACTGAAGTGCTGTCCAAAGTTTCTGTTGCGAAGAATTTGGACGTGCTTCACATTGTCTTAAAATGTTCTACAGTTACTGCATAAAAGATGATCAATTCATTAAAGAATGTTCCATAAGACCACCAAGAACTGCAACATGTCCAAATTACAGAATGAGGAACGTGCTCTCTTATACCATGCACCATGCACTTTCAACCGCTGAAAAACCATGTGGGTTGTGTTCCTGCAAGTACATACACTACACATCAGCACACATCAGCACAGATGAAGCAAATGAGCATAGATCAATATGATCTCAAGAACAAAAAACAATAACGCCAGAAAAGGAAACAACAGCTTACCAAATCCAACTATTGAAAATCTCACAATTTCAAACGCCGAACAATACGGCCACACCTACTCTGCATTCTCAGAATCTCCTTGGCAAAATCCTGATTCCCAGTAATAACAAGTCCATTCAACACCCTATTGAAAGTAAACTTCCGTGGCAAGAACCCTCTATCAACCATCTCCATCAACAATTTCCCAGCCACCGCCAAATCTGCCGATTTCTTCCTCAAAAACATGGCACTGATCAGAATATTGTAGGTATCCAAATTGGGCAAGCAAGGCTCATCCCTCATCTTCTCAAACATCTCCAAACCCTTCTCAATCTCCCCAGCATCACAAAAGTACCTAATCACAACATTATATGTCTGAACAGAACACCTCAAACCATGTTCCCCCATTCTTCCCATAAACCAAAATGCCCTCTCCATGTCTCCAACATGACAAAAACCTCTGATGACAACGTTGTAAGTAACCACATTTGGCACACACAGCCCCTTCCTCATCATCTCCTCAAAAACCACCACCGCATTCTCCACGCTATCCTTCTTACACAAAACCTGAATCAACGCATTATAAGTGGCGACACTAGGAGCCACGCCCTCTTTCATCATCTCATCAAAAACTCTACGAGATTTCTTAACCTCACCCACCACCCCAAACCCATGAATCACAGTCGTGTAAGTCACAACATCAATCTCGCACTTCCTCTTCTTCATCTCCAAGTAAAACTCCCAAGCCTCCTTTATCTGATTACTCCGAAAATACCCTTTCAGCAATGTGTTGTAGGTGACCATCGTAGGGTTTATCCCTTGCTGCACCATTTCCTTCAGAACTTGCAACGCCATTGGCATGCGTTTGATTAAGCAATAACCGTTTCCGATTATGTTGTAGCTTACGCAATCGAGTTTGAATCTGGATCGGAACGTTTTGAGCAAGGTGTGCGCCATTTCCACGCGCTTCGATTTGCAGAGGATATCGAGGACGGTGTTGAATGAGTTCAGGTCCTGGCGGCAACCGTGCTCGTGCATGGAGAGGAAGGTTCTGACGGCGCGGTGGGGTTTTCCGTTTGCGGCGTAGCGCTCGGCGAGGATGGCGAAGGTTCGGGGAGTTGGGCCGCGGCGGAGAGATCGCATGCGGCCCACTAAGGCCCATGCAGCGTTGTAGTCGTGCGTGCGGGCCGCGATGTCGATGGCGTGGTCGAACGACGAGGCGCAGTGGATGTAGGCAGGGTGGCAGTCCAGGTGTTTGAAGAATTGAAGGGCCTTGGGCCCGTGGTTCCAGAGGCGCTTCAGAACCTTATTCACGAGCTCAGGTGTCCATTGGATTATAGGCATGAATAGGGTCTCGGAGAGACTGAGTGGGTCTGATTCGAGGACCAGATTGGCTATAATGGCATCTGAAGGCTGTTGAACACCGTCACATACAGTAGCCACCTTAGGTGGAAGGGGAAACTCACGGTGCTTCTTCAACCCAGAGAGGAGGTGGAAACGGACCATTTTAGGGCTTTTCCGGATTTGTCACTCAAGCGGGCGTGTCTTCTGTTTTGCTGTGACCGGAAGGTGGTGGAGAGAGCTCGACAGAGAGTGATGGCCCTAACTTGGTGGCAGCGATAACGTTGCGTCGACGAACGGCCGGCGTCGTTCACAAGCAAGAGCTTTTCTCTCGCGCGAAGAGATGAAGGAGCAGAGGGCTCTTGCGGTGGCTGGCGATGGGTCCGGCGACAAGTGCCATCGCCGGCGACACATTTGGCTGATTGGCGGCTTGCGGCGGCTTGCGGCGGCTGGGCGATTGGTCCAAAGCAGATAATGCGCGACTGACAGGAACTGCTGCCTCGTTGCTTTACCTTGTGCGAATGAGAGGATCTCACGGATCGGGTGGAGTTGCAAAAACGGGTTCCGAAAAAAAGGGATTTAGGGCCTAGACCCAAAGGATTCTGGTCAACCAACCTCTTTTTGCACCCCTGGCATTTCCCAGAAATCCAATATACGTGACCTAATTCCGTGTTTTACAGAATTAAAAAACGTAGTAAGTTTGGGTTCAAGCCCATTCTGTAACTGCAAACAAAAAAAGAGGTTCGGGAATTGGGCGCATTTCGGGATGCACCTTCAATTTCATCCTTACACCCTGGCAGAAACAAAGATGATGAAAAAGCACTTTGGCCCAAACAAAAAGCCTATTTCTTTTCCGCACCCCCTGGTTTATTCCTGCACCCCTACAATAAATATTTATTTTCATGCTTTTGTTTTTTTCATTAGGTTTCTTGCATTAATCTTATGTTCATTTTTATTCATTGGGTTTGCATGTTTAATTTTATTTGTTGCTTATACACTACTTTTTCTAATAAAAAATATTCAATAAAAGTTTACAAAACAATAAAAAGTATATATAAAAGATATAAAGTAAAAAAGAAGATAAAATTATAAAATTACAATGATTTTCTAATATTTTAAAAGAGATATAAGTATGTGATCGTCTGCATCAGCTTAATAGTTAATACTCTCAACAAATAATGGGATGAGTGCTCGTGCGATCGCCAGCATGACCGCTTGCATCATCCTAATTCCTAATACCTTTTCTTTTTCTTTAAAAATAATTTAATATCATTTTAAAGGTTGAGCCCTCATGTGTCGTGTCTTTGGTGCTTCACACATTTTCTTTCTCTTTGAAAAATGATAAAATAAAATTAAATATCGTTTTAAAGTTTGAGCATTTGTGTGATCTCTCCATCCTCCTAGTGCTTAACACTTTTCTTCCTCTTTTAACAATAATCAAAAAATATTTAAATATCATTTTAAAGGTTGAGCACTCGTGTGATCGTCCGCATCGTTCTAATGCTTAATTTTTTTCTTTATCTTTTTAAAAATAATTAAGAATATTCAAATGTCTTTCTAAAATTATGAGTATTCGTGTGACCGTCTGCGTCGGCCAAGTACTCATTACCTTCTCTTTCTCAAAAATACCAAAAAATGCAAAAATCTTCAAAAAAAACTAAAAACATTCAAATCTTCACACAAACAATCTTTCAGCCAGAACTACGTGATTCTTGATAGCGAGTGAAGATACGTATGAGCAAGGCTAGTCTTTGTCAGGTTCATTTCCCAAAAATCCAAATTTATTCCAAGTCATTTTCCAAATAATTTTTTCAAACAGTTCCCGAAAGGACTACACAACCTTGATTTCTCATTCTAAATGAAAATACATAGGAGTAAGGTCAATCTTTGTCGAGTTTAAAAAACTTAAAAAATATATTTTGCTTCTTTACAGTATCTTTTTTGGAGATAATTAAACATTTTTAAAACCACATCACATTCGCGTATTTAATTAAAGGTATTGTCTTCGGGCAGGCGTTGTAGGTATGCTAATATCTTCCCTACACGTAACCAACTCCCGAACCTATAATCCGGTTTTCGCAAACCGTGTCTTATTTTATGGTTTTTCCGTAGTTTTCCATAATAAACTATGGTGACGACTCCAAATCTCTTTTTCAAACCCAATGTTTTTGGTTCGTTGTTCCGTCGCGATTTCGGTTGCGACACTTACAAATCCCTACCGAAATAATATGTATAATTCTACTAAAAGTAGGCCTTACGAAATAACTGTGCTGAATCACAAATTTATACATGTTTTCAATAACATGTATAAACCAACCAACAGCGTAGACCAACAAATTAATCGTGCTCAATCACAGACTTAAAAAGTTTACACCCTCGGTCTTTCAGTTATATTGTTTGGCCTTTCACTCTCCTCAATTAATATCATTCGGCTCACTTTCCTTTTATTATCGCTCGACCCACTTCACCCTGTTAATACTATTCGGTTCACTTCCCCCTATTAATGTCATTCGGTACCATTCTCACACACTTAACCATTCGGTCATGCATCCTCACACATTAAATCGTTCAGTCATACACCCTCACACACTTAACCATTCGGTCATGCATCCTCACACACTTAATCATTCGATCATGCATCCTCACACACTACACAATTCGGTCCTACACCCTCACACACTTAACCATTCGGTCATGCATCCTTACAAACTAAATCGTTCGGTTATACATCCTCACACACTTAACCATTCGGTCATGCATCTTCACACAATAAACCGTTCGGTCCTACACCCTCACACACTTAACCATTCGGTCATGCATCCTCACACACTAAACCGTTCGGTCCTACACCCTCACACACTTAACCATTCGGTCATGCATCCTCACACACTAAATCGTTCGGTCTTACACCCTCACACACTTAACCATTCAGTCATGCATCTTCACATACTAAACCGTTCGGTCCTACACCCTCACAGACTTAACCGTTCGGTCATTCATGCTCACACATTAAATCGTTCGGTTATACATCCTCACACACTTAACCATTCGGTCATGCCTCCTCACACACTAAAGCGTTCGGTTCTACACCCTCACACACTTAACCATTTCGTCATGCATCCTCACACACTAAACCGTTTGGTCCTACACCATCACATACTTAACTGTTTGGTCATGCATCCTCACACTAAATCGTTCGGTAATACACTTTTGTCTTACCGTTCGGCTACTCCTCTCATGCACCGCTTAACCTCTTTTTATAGATTCCTCACCCTCATGCTTTTCTTCCGCTAAAGGAAGACACATTCCCAAGCTCTACACCCACCACACACTCTTGGTTAGAGAGTGTAGAAATGTGCCCCTCAACAACCCTTTCCCTATTTCATGTAAAGTAAATAATTCAAAAGAAGAATAAAACCCATGCAAAACATATATCAACATTATACCCCACCCCTTCACAAAACATATACCCATGCAAAAACATATTTCATACATGCTAAAAAATGAAACTCAACCTCCATCCCTCACAAAATATACTTCAAGTTACTCCCCTTACATGTAACAACAAACATATATAAAAGTTATATCCCAACCCTTCACAACCATAGACCATAAATCATAAACTCTAAACCCAAAATTGTGCCTTAAACCGCACACCCTTAAACCTAAAACCTTAAACCTTACATCCTACACCTTACACCATAAACCCTAATACCTCAACGCTAAACCTTAAACAATATAAACAAAACCCTAAAGAATAAACCCTACGCCTTAAACTCTAAACACATCCCTTAAACCATACAATCCTAAACCCAAAACCATAAATTGTAAACCCTAAACCCTACACTATAAATCATAAACCCTAAACCCTAAATTATAAACCCTAAACTTTACAACGTAAATCATACACCTTAAACCCTAAATCACCCATAAACCCTAAATCCTAAACTCATACACCCTTAAACCTTTAACCGTGAACCACAAACCCCAAACACCAAACCCTTAATTGTGCTTTAAACCATACAACTTTAAACCTAAATCGTAAACCCTAAATCCCTAACACTACATCCTACACCCTACACCAAAAATCCTAAACCTTAAAACCTCAACCCTAACCTTTAATCCTTAAACCCAAAACCCTAATCCCTACATCATAAACCCTTAACCCTGAATCTTAAACTCTTAACCTTAAACTTTACACCCTACAACTTAAACCATAACTCAAAAACCCAACACCTTAAATCTTACACCCGGTTAATACCAATTGATAGAAAAATAAAGAGATAATATATATATATATATATATATATATATATATATAATATCGCGTTTTCACATAATTTTTTATCATTATCTTTTGAAAGAGTTTTTTTTTCTTTTCCTATTTTTTATTGTTATCTTTATTTTATTAGGTCTTTATTTTCTTCTTCTTTATCTATTCATGCTTTTACATTTGTTTTTGTTTTATTNAGGTTGAGCCCTCATGTGTCGTGTCTTTGGTGCTTCACACATTTTCTTTCTCTTTGAAAAATGATAAAATAAAATTAAATATCGTTTTAAAGTTTGAGCATTTGTGTGATCTCTCCATCCTCCTAGTGCTTAACACTTTTCTTCCTCTTTTAACAATAATCAAAAAATATTTAAATATCATTTTAAAGGTTGAGCACTCGTGTGATCGTCCGCATCGTTCTAATGCTTAATTTTTTTCTTTATCTTTTTAAAAATAATTAAGAATATTCAAATGTCTTTCTAAAATTATGAGTATTCGTGTGACCGTCTGCGTCGGCCAAGTACTCATTACCTTCTCTTTCTCAAAAATACCAAAAAATGCAAAAATCTTCAAAAAAAACTAAAAACATTCAAATCTTCACACAAACAATCTTTCAGCCAGAACTACGTGATTCTTGATAGCGAGTGAAGATACGTATGAGCAAGGCTAGTCTTTGTCAGGTTCATTTCCCAAAAATCCAAATTTATTCCAAGTCATTTTCCAAATAATTTTTTCAAACAGTTCCCGAAAGGACTACACAACCTTGATTTCTCATTCTAAATGAAAATACATAGGAGTAAGGTCAATCTTTGTCGAGTTTAAAAAACTTAAAAAATATATTTTGCTTCTTTACAGTATCTTTTTTGGAGATAATTAAACATTTTTAAAACCACATCACATTCGCGTATTTAATTAAAGGTATTGTCTTCGGGCAGGCGTTGTAGGTATGCTAATATCTTCCCTACACGTAACCAACTCCCGAACCTATAATCCGGTTTTCGCAAACCGTGTCTTATTTTATGGTTTTTCCGTAGTTTTCCATAATAAACTATGGTGACGACTCCAAATCTCTTTTTCAAACCCAATGTTTTTGGTTCGTTGTTCCGTCGCGATTTCGGTTGCGACACTTACAAATCCCTACCGAAATAATATGTATAATTCTACTAAAAGTAGGCCTTACGAAATAACTGTGCTGAATCACAAATTTATACATGTTTTCAATAACATGTATAAACCAACCAACAGCGTAGACCAACAAATTAATCGTGCTCAATCACAGACTTAAAAAGTTTACACCCTCGGTCTTTCAGTTATATTGTTTGGCCTTTCACTCTCCTCAATTAATATCATTCGGCTCACTTTCCTTTTATTATCGCTCGACCCACTTCACCCTGTTAATACTATTCGGTTCACTTCCCCCTATTAATGTCATTCGGTACCATTCTCACACACTTAACCATTCGGTCATGCATCCTCACACATTAAATCGTTCAGTCATACACCCTCACACACTTAACCATTCGGTCATGCATCCTCACACACTTAATCATTCGATCATGCATCCTCACACACTACACAATTCGGTCCTACACCCTCACACACTTAACCATTCGGTCATGCATCCTTACAAACTAAATCGTTCGGTTATACATCCTCACACACTTAACCATTCGGTCATGCATCTTCACACAATAAACCGTTCGGTCCTACACCCTCACACACTTAACCATTCGGTCATGCATCCTCACACACTAAACCGTTCGGTCCTACACCCTCACACACTTAACCATTCGGTCATGCATCCTCACACACTAAATCGTTCGGTCTTACACCCTCACACACTTAACCATTCAGTCATGCATCTTCACATACTAAACCGTTCGGTCCTACACCCTCACAGACTTAACCGTTCGGTCATTCATGCTCACACATTAAATCGTTCGGTTATACATCCTCACACACTTAACCATTCGGTCATGCCTCCTCACACACTAAAGCGTTCGGTTCTACACCCTCACACACTTAACCATTTCGTCATGCATCCTCACACACTAAACCGTTTGGTCCTACACCATCACATACTTAACTGTTTGGTCATGCATCCTCACACTAAATCGTTCGGTAATACACTTTTGTCTTACCGTTCGGCTACTCCTCTCATGCACCGCTTAACCTCTTTTTATAGATTCCTCACCCTCATGCTTTTCTTCCGCTAAAGGAAGACACATTCCCAAGCTCTACACCCACCACACACTCTTGGTTAGAGAGTGTAGAAATGTGCCCCTCAACAACCCTTTCCCTATTTCATGTAAAGTAAATAATTCAAAAGAAGAATAAAACCCATGCAAAACATATATCAACATTATACCCCACCCCTTCACAAAACATATACCCATGCAAAAACATATTTCATACATGCTAAAAAATGAAACTCAACCTCCATCCCTCACAAAATATACTTCAAGTTACTCCCCTTACATGTAACAACAAACATATATAAAAGTTATATCCCAACCCTTCACAACCATAGACCATAAATCATAAACTCTAAACCCAAAATTGTGCCTTAAACCGCACACCCTTAAACCTAAAACCTTAAACCTTACATCCTACACCTTACACCATAAACCCTAATACCTCAACGCTAAACCTTAAACAATATAAACAAAACCCTAAAGAATAAACCCTACGCCTTAAACTCTAAACACATCCCTTAAACCATACAATCCTAAACCCAAAACCATAAATTGTAAACCCTAAACCCTACACTATAAATCATAAACCCTAAACCCTAAATTATAAACCCTAAACTTTACAACGTAAATCATACACCTTAAACCCTAAATCACCCATAAACCCTAAATCCTAAACTCATACACCCTTAAACCTTTAACCGTGAACCACAAACCCCAAACACCAAACCCTTAATTGTGCTTTAAACCATACAACTTTAAACCTAAATCGTAAACCCTAAATCCCTAACACTACATCCTACACCCTACACCAAAAATCCTAAACCTTAAAACCTCAACCCTAACCTTTAATCCTTAAACCCAAAACCCTAATCCCTACATCATAAACCCTTAACCCTGAATCTTAAACTCTTAACCTTAAACTTTACACCCTACAACTTAAACCATAACTCAAAAACCCAACACCTTAAATCTTACACCCGGTTAATACCAATTGATAGAAAAATAAAGAGATAATATATATATATATATATATATATATATATATATAATATCGCGTTTTCACATAATTTTTTATCATTATCTTTTGAAAGAGTTTTTTTTTCTTTTCCTATTTTTTATTGTTATCTTTATTTTATTAGGTCTTTATTTTCTTCTTCTTTATCTATTCATGCTTTTACATTTGTTTTTGTTTTATTGTTTTTTATTTTGTTTTTATTAGCATCTGCTTTTCCTTTTAATTTGTTTCTTACATTACTTTTTTTTAAAATAATAATAATTAAAAAAATGAATAAAAATAAAAATAATAACAAAACGGAATCGGTTGCACCAACAGGATTCACTCAACAGAAACCCATTTTTTTTCCATCACGACATGACAAACAAAAAAACCCATTCCCCCACCCAATTTCAAGGGATCTTCTTGCTTCCACTGATCGCTCTCACACCTCACTACGGGAGCTAGAAGAAAAGGATTATTCTCCTTTCAACTCCGTTCACCTCTGGCGTCTTCCATCAACCATTACTCACTTTCAACATCATCAATCCCCTGTTGCTGCAACTACCTTTCACCTAGAAGAGACAAAGAAAGCATCCGAATCTACAATCGCAGAAAGAAAACCAAACAAAAAAACAGTTTCTCAAGGTGAGTCTTCTATTCTAGCTTAGCTAGCTTATTTGATCTTGTGTATGAATCAAAGATTTGCTACGATGGCTGCTTGCTAGTCTCATTTTCTCTTGCGTGCACGAATAGATGTTTCTGCATTGCTATTTTCATTTTGTTGCTGCATTGGCTTCATAACATCCCTATCACAATCATCTCTTGATCACCCTCTCCATGAGAAGAGGAGGTTTTTGCTCGATCTTTCGTTCTTATCTTCGCTAAAAAGGAACCAATTCCATCACCTGAAAAACAGAGATGAACCACTCAGGCAGAGACAAAACAGATTCTGAGTTTCTCTTCATGTTTCCATCATCCCAAAGAACCTGAAATAAAAAACCCCTAGCCATTCGTAAAACCGATTCATCAACACCCAGCCATTGCTGCAGAACACCAAAACGGATTCATCAAATACCCGTTCCTTGCCCAAGTAACAAAGAACATTAATAATTTCAACCCCCTCTCTGTTATGACTTTGCTCAATTAGCAAACTGTGATTAGCCCAGTTTCAAACTCGTAATCCTGGGCCAACGGCGATCTTGGCAGCAAGGGCGGTGAGCCCTCGACTTTAAGGTTTCGGAAGAGCTGCGCGTCGATATACGAAATGGCGAGGATAAAGGTGTGCAAGCTGAGGAACAAGGCGAAGGCGGAGTTGCTGAACCAGTTGAAGGATCTGAAGGCGGAGCTCGTTCTGCTTCAGGTGGCTAATTCTTGAAAGCAGACGACGCGGCGCGGAGAGGCGAGAGTTTTTTTTTTCTCTCTCGCGCAAGACGCATAGCAGGAAGAGAGAGTCTGGTGCTGTGGCCGGCGACGGCTCCGGCGGCTGGCGTCGTCACTGGCGACGCCATGGGCCGCGGCTCGCGGTAGCCAGTGTCGGTGGGGGCGGTGGCACGCATGCAATGGGAGGCAAACCCTCCATAGGGTTCCCTGGTTTAGGAGAAGAGACTTTAGTCTCGATGAGCACAAATGGAATGAAGATGGTTGAACCCTGAATGGGTTTCTGAGTTAGGGGATAAGGGCTTTGGGTGTAGCTCGTGGGCTGCCTTTTTCCTTTGTGTTTGAAGCACTGCTTCGACTCATGCACGGGTGTTGCTACACCACCACAAATTTCTTCCTCATAATTAAAAAATTAAAAAAATAAACTGAAATGAAAGATCCAACGTCCGTAGGCCAAGCCAAACGGATATGCGTTTAAGTCTCCATATCTATCATTTATTTCTACGTTTTCTTCGCCAACTGAGTTTTTTTTCGATGTGAGGTGTGAGGGTGAGTGAGGAAAATGGAAAAGAAAAGGAGAAGAGGGAAGGGAAGGTGGTGGGTGACGGAAATGGAAAAGAGAAAGAGAAGAGAGAGGTGGGGTGTGGTGTGTGCTGGAATCAGGGTACAAAATCAGGGTTTTAAATTAAAAATATAAAAAGTTAATTTAAAAGTAAAAAGAAAAATTAACTTAAGGATAATTTTGAAAAAAAAAATAAATTGAGGAGGTGCTGGAAGAAGGTAGTGGTGGTGGAGGGAGCATCTTTCCTCATGCACTCCTCTGATTTCCTTTGTTTTTTTTTCTCCTAGTTGGGCCTTGAGCCCACTTCCAATTCAGAAAACCCTAAAGAAGGTTTAGGCCTTGGCCTTGTGATTTTTTGTTATCATCCGCTGAACGTTAAAATTTTGGTTTAAACCCTCCCTTGGTCCTTAAGTTTGTATGAAAATCTCATTTGGGTCCTCAAGTTTTTTTCTGTCTCAATTGGGTCATATTTTTTGTAAAAGTGAGCACATTGTACCATAACCGTTAAGTGGTGTGAGACGACGTTAAATTGGTGTGAGCTGGTGCACAGAGAATGTGGTGATGTGTTTAGGGTTTCTTACGTGGACTGTTTTGTTTAAAAAAATAGTGCTGATGTGGCATAAGTAGGTATATCAGAATTAGGGATTTGAAAATTGGAATTGGGGATTTAATTTGGTTGTTGCGAGGAAGCTGAATCGGTAACCGCAAACGACGCGGTTGGTCCGGCGAGCGAGTGCGAACATTCATGGTTTTCAGAGGATAGTAAGTTGAAAGATGAGTCAGTGTTTGGTATTCCTGAGGACGTTGTATTCGGATTTGAAAGCACTTTGGATATGTTTGACGAGTGTGATAACAACGTTGCAGAGAGCAGTGGTATATTCTTGGGAGATGATTTTGATTTGAGTGGATGCTTTGTTAGTGAGAAAGAGAATTTAGATTTGGGTTTTGGTTTTGGGTTTACGAGTTGGCAAAGAGAGTGCGATAATTTCCAAGACATTGGGGATTTGTTTGTTTGGGATCCTCTTGTTGCTCTTTGATTCAGACACCATTCTCGTCTTGTAATTCTATGCCAACAACCAAAGGGTTGCCATCAGTTTTGTTTTCTGGGGTTTTTGGCAAAAAAACATGTTTTTCTTTTTCTTTTTAACATGAGTGGTGGTATTTTTGTAAGGAGAGAAACAGTCCACGTAAAAAACATGTTTTTCTTTTTCTTTTTAACATGAGTGGTGGTATTTATGCCACATCAACACTATTTTTTTAAACAAAACAGTCTACGTAAGAAACCCTAAACACATCACCACATTCTCTGTGCACCAGCTCACACCAATTTAACGCCGTCTCACACCACTTAACGGTTATGGTACAATGTGCTCACTTTTACAAAAAATATGACCCAATTGAGACAGAAAAAAAACTTGAGGACCCAAATGAGATTTTCATACAAACTTGAGGACCAAGGGAGGGTTTAAACCTAAAATTTTTGTCTATGGGATAGTTTTGTCTAAAATTTTTGTCCAAATCATCGATTTTGGAAAACCTTTCAGTTTCATCACTGATATAATGTAAAACTTTATTTGTTACATGGAAAACATATTTGAAAATAATACTTTATATTATTTTCATAAAATGTATGAACGAAAATATATATTTAGGTTAGTTTAGATACTAAACACATATTTGAAGATAGTTTAAGGATGAAAAATATATTTAATTATTTTCTTCAACTATTCATTATCATTAATTCTGTCTGTTTTTTTTTCTATTTCTTAAATTATTGTAAAATTACTCACACAAGTTAATATCCTCTCTTGATTTTTTTTATATTTTTGTGGTGTGTTGTATTCATGTTTCTGGTTTTCCTTGGAAACAGCAAGCTGATGTTCTTGAACCATTCAACGCATCGAGTTTACCAAGTTATCTTCAAATGTGGATTAATTCACTTGAAGAAGGAAGTCTATATCAAAGGTAAGTTTTATAAATTTTCAATATCAGAAGAAGCATTGAAAGAACAGAACATGAACTTCTATAAACTTGTAAATGCTTCAGTTGATAATTTACAAGTATTCTTTTCAACAAATTCATTGATATGTTATTTCATTTTGTTAGAATAAAAGATTAAGTTTAACCTCTTCTTTTTCTTCTATAGATTTCCTTCAGATTTGTTTCAACTGCTGATGTCAGAGTGTCTTGTCCTGCACAATCATATAGTGAGTTTGTGTTGTGAATTACCTTGTTATATTGTTTGAGGCTTCAATTATTATATATAGTGAGTTTTTTTTCTTACAAA